TCCTGACCTATGGAAAAGAGAAACCAGGTCTGCAGCCCCTGGAATGTTCAGCACCACAAACATTCCTCACTCTGCATTTGGTTCACATGCTGGGGAGAAGGGCAGAACAGCCACCTTGGACTCTCCTAGCCATGGGAGGATGTGTCCCAGGTGGCAGGTGCTGGCACTGTTGGTCGTGGCCTGGGTTTCATCACACTGTCATACAGAGCTCACCAGGGCTCCTAGGCACAGGTCGCTGTTTTCTGGCTTCCCCTTGTCTGAGTGCTGGGGGAAAAAAAATCAAACATCCACTCATTAGCCTTGTGTCTCTAAGTGAGCCCTAGCTTTGGAAAGCCTTCCCTGGCCACTCCAAGGCCATTTTCCAGCTGAGTCCCCAGGTTGGGAAGTCTGGGAAGCTATCTGCATGGCTTGGGAAGGTGCATCTTTCTCCATTGCAGCAATTCTCCACTGGAGAAGCATCAGATGTTCCTCAGCCACTGCCAGGGCTGGAGCATGAAGAGGTCAAAAGTGCAGAAGAGGACAGATAAGCAGGAGTCTCCCTGCTAAGGGGCGGCTGCTTGCAGGGCAGAAGGACAGACAACAAGCTGCTGCCAACACTAGAATCAAGAAGCTGCTCAGAGCCCTGTGTAGGGGTTGAGAGCAGGGCTTCTTAGGAGTTGGGAGGAATCCTGCATCTGTTCCACAGTGTGACCTGGAGGGTGGCTGCCTAGCCCTGCTCACTCAGCTGGTCTGGTTTGTGTAAGCACAAAGGGCTCTAGGACGCTGACCCCCCAGATTTTTCTCACATGTTGTTCTCATAGAGAAATGTCTGACCTCCCTGCTCTGGACTTGTAGAAATATCTGAGTGAAGCTCCTAGTATTCAACTCTAGCCCCAAATATTAAGTAGGTTGTGCTACTCCAATGCTCTCAGACCAGAAACTGAGACCCAGACAGAGAGAAGGGCTCAGCCAAGACTCCTGCGTTTTTTCTGTCTCCCTGGTCAATGTTTTCTTCACCACACCTATGATCTTTCCCAATGGAGAAAGAAATCCAGCTTTATTATCTATTTAGCTTTATTTTTTAAGAATCTGTATGTCTATTAAAATTAAACTAAGGCTGATTCTAGAGTCAGATAGAACGAGATTTAAATTCCAGCTCCACTACTTACCAAGTGCAATAGAGTAAATAGCCTGTGGGCAAATAATTGCTATCTGTAGCTGAGATTCCTTCTCTGGAAACAGTGCCTTACATCATAAGGTCATGTAAAGATTAATTAAGATAATGTACTAAAGAGCTCAGTATGGTGCCCAGCAGGTAATAAACACTCATAAAAGTTAGCTATTTTTTTTACCATTGTTGTTAGTATTTTAATGAATATGTAAGGCAATTCATAATTAACATTTAAATTAGTGTTATGGCCAAAGCTCATTACCTGTATTTGGATATACAGGGATGAACTGAGAAACTTTTTTTATTGACTAAGCCATTTAAATTTCCACTTTGAAATTTTGTTTCTGTGCTTACTTGGTTTTTAATTAGTTTTAAAAGTTGACAGGCACAGGTGTAGTGGCACGCGTCTGTAGTCCCAGCTACTTAGGAGGCTGAGGCGGAAGAATCGCTTGAACCCAGGAGGCGGTGGTTGCAGTGAGCCGAGATTGCGCCACTGCACTCCAGCCTGGCGACAGAGCAAGACTCTGTCTCAAAAAAAAAAAAAAAAAAAAGTTGGCAGGCAAACTCCAAACACTAAGTTTCCACCAACTCCTTCATGGATCCACCCCTTCCTAAAACATTAAACTATAGTATTAAATCATCATAGGTGCTCAATAAATGTTTTTTCAGTAGATGAATTTATGGATGGGTGAATGGACGGATGGATGAATGGACCATGAATGGAGGGATGATGAATGGATGGATGGATGGATGGATGGATGATGGATGATGGATGGATGAAGGATGAAGGATGGAAGATGGATGGTTGGATGATGATAGATGAATAGGTGGATGATGGGTTGAATGGATGGTGCTAAGACAGTAGCACCATGAAGTAACCACCTTTGATTCAGACTGGATAGTGGTCTGGTTTCATGAAAACCCATAATGAGAAGGCTGAAGGACTAGAATAACATGGTGAAGGGCCCAGAGGTCTTTGTGCAGACAAACAGCAGGTGCAGCTGAAATGAGGAGACATAGAAAGAAAGGCTGTGGTCACAGACTGAGATGGGACAGAGTGAAATCCTAGAGTAGGAGTAGTTCCTGGTGATGTAAGGTCTTGGACGCAGCCAGGGAATGGGTACCTAAGGTAAAAAGGAATTCTGGGGGTCCTTAAATACAATGAGTTCTAGGAACTATGAGTCCAGATTATTGGATGAGTGATTCACATGGCCTCTTATGCAATTCCAAGCTAGGATTAAAGTGACCTGAATTAATGAGGTTTTATTCTATATTCCATCAAATTGCTCCATGGGAGGGAGGGGAGTTTCTTATATAAAACTGAATTAAATATAAATAATAATCATGCACTGAACAAAGGTATTTATTTATAATTCTTGCCTTATTTTTACCTCAGTGAATGAATGGTAGTGTTGCTTAAAGAGTGTGTGTGTCTGTGTGTGTGTGTGTGTTTGTGTGTGTGTGTGACAGACAGAGAGAAAGAGAGAGAGAGAGAGAAAATGTTCATCACATTGTTTTGTTGTCTGACCTTTTCAGCATTTTAGCTCCAGGCCAGTTGTGGGGCAACACTGGGAATCTTGTAGGAATTATATATAGCGAAATGTCACCAGTAACCAAAGACATTCCGTTCCTCCCCGCCCAATCCAAATACTTGAAATTCACAATAAATTTTGGCTTGGTAAGCATGGCATTATATTTATGCATGGGACATTTTATTTATCATTTCTATTCATAGTACAAGGAAAAGAGGGCTGGATGGTGGGTGCGGAGACACAGTGAGCCCCCGACCCCACCTCCATCAGCATTTGCTCTATGACAGAATAAGAATTGTGGCCAGAATGGCATTTTACGGTCTAAACTTTACCCTCAGACTTTAGTTAGTAATACTATACTGTACACTTGAAATTTGCTAACAGAGTAGATCTTGAGTTTTCTTACCACACACACAAAATAGTAACTATGTGAGGTGATGGATATGGTAATTAGTGTGGTTGTGGTAATCATTTCACACTGTATACATATATCAATTCATCACATTGTATACCTTAAATATATGCCACTTTTATTTGTCAATTATACCTCAATAAAGCTGGGGGGGAAACATTACCCTCAGCTTTTAACCCTCACAGCAGTTCACAGATGTTGGCCAGCCAGATATTATGGTGCCTTTTGATGATGGGAACCTGAGGTAGAATAGAGAGATAAAGCGGCAGGTACAGGACACTCAACTGTAAGTGGAGAGCCAGATCCAGCCTATGGCCTTCTAACCCACACCCACCCAGCAGTCTAAGCACTAGACTGTGGCAAGTCACTGCCTCTGTGTTTCTGCCCCATAAAGTAAATCCATCTCCCAGTCCTTCCACCAACAGCTTTGACTAGCTAAAGTTCTGGAAGCACCGTGACAGGAACAAATATTTGCCCACCCACTGGTATTTCTGCAAGACAGCATAAGCTATGCAAAATTATCAGGCTGGAAAAAATGTTTTGAGGGCCATTTCAGTGCTCTTCAGTGCTCATAGCCACCAGCCTCATTGAAAAGATGCCCTGAGAGCACAGGAAGCCACTGAGCATGTGCCCCACCCACCTTCTCTAACAAGATAATAAATCTTTCCACAGCTGGTCCCAAGCCGGTAGGTCACACCAGGTTGGAAAGGCAGGCCACTTCTACCTGTTACATGCCCTGACACCTCTTATGGATCAATCAGGACATTTTTCCTCAATGATATGACTTCAGATGCTGTTACTCAGTCATAAATTGAGCCATGAGATGAAACCTATTTTTTATCCATGTGTTAAGTAGTTGTTAATAATCCATACCACACTTGCTTCCAGAAACGGTAAGAGACACAAAACTATCAAACACCAAGATCAAAGAGCAAGAATGGAGTAAAGGGGAAATCCATTTGCAGAAGCCCAGACTGAGGGGGCCTGTTGCAAATGAGAAAACTTCACTCGCAGCTTCCTTACAGACAATGTTAAGAGGAAAAATTGGTTACAGAACTCTAAGGAACTCAGTCACTTTTAAGGGAAGGCCATAAAATCTAGGAGGCAATGCTAGTGTGGATTTTAAATAAGGCATATCAAGCATCTTAATGGCCATTGTCTTCACTCACCAAGGCATTGTTTCTCAGGCTTCTCTGGGCTATCAGAATCAGAACCATCTGGGGTGCTTGTTCAAAATCCAGGTTCCACTCTGAGTGACACTGTCTGTGAGATGGGCCTGGTGACCTGCATTTTAAACAAGGTCAATCACTGATTATTCTACACCTGCAAGTTGGAGAAAAACTTCACCAAGATGTTAGTAGATAACAGTGTCTTAATGTAGTGGCCTTTCCTAACCATCCTTTCATCTTACCAGAGGTTAATGCCTGCTGCCACAGGACTCTCTAAGGAGAACTCCAGGCCTCAGGGTCCAGCAAGAGAGATATTTGGAGGCTGCAGGGGCTCCCCACCTACTTGTGGTGGGGAAGCTGGGCTGTCTTCATGCACTTGGGTGTGGAATGAGCTTTCTTCTTACCACAGACTACAGAGAGGGCACACCCCTCCTTAGCCCTCTTGTCACTCCCAGGTCTGGCCATGGCAGCCATGGGAGCCACCAGCACACCTTAGCTATGGTGATGTTGGCTTGGCTGACCAACTCTCTCCCTTCCCCATCCTCATCCATGATAGGGCAGGCAGAGCACCAAGCCCAGGAGTCCAGGAGCCAACCAGTGGCAAAAACACAGATGAAGGAGCCATGCCACCTCACAACCCCTGGCCTGTGCCTCCCTACCCTACAGTGCAACCTGGGATCTGTCAGGGATCTGCCTCAGGGAGGCAATCATGGGTTCTTTCCTCTCCCTCCACACAGGTTTGGAATAAATTGCCTCATCCAGTTTGAAGACTTTGCCAATGCCAATGCTTTCCGCCTGCTCAACAAATACCGTAACAAGTACTGCATGTTCAATGATGACATCCAAGGTAGGTTTCCATCCCACCTGATAAAGCCGCAGGGGACTAACTTCTATTCTCAAACCTCACTGGGATGCCAAAGGGGTGGGGAAGGGCTGTCACCTCATAACTGGTTTGTTGCCAGAAGCTGCTGAAGAAAGAACATTAAACTTAGATTTAACTCCTACTTAGCTAATTCTTAACTCTGTGAATTCAGTTTCTTTTTCTACAAAATGAAGATCATTACTACTTCAGAGGTAGGTAAGAATTATGTGATTTTAATATATCTAAGAAATTCTAAACAATGCTGTAATTTACTAGCAAGTTGAATTTGAATCAATCACTTCCCTGACCACAGTTTTATCATCTAGTCAATAGAGAGGATAACAACTGCCTTGAAAGAGCATGGTGAAAATTTACAAAGATAACATTGTAGAAAGTACTAACCTGTAAAACTCATCAGACCAAAACACCAATCATCATAAAAATGGCCTTCCCCAGCCATAATAACTTGCTTTTAGGTTTTCCAAATATAAGGCGTGTCCCTATCAGGAAGTCAGGACAATTCCTTCTCTAACTTTGACCGAAGTGTTTATTGCTCATAATGGCCCTGTGAAAGACACTGACAACAGGAACCCAGAACCTTCCAAAGCCAACATGAAGCACCCTGTAGTTCAGGTTCCACTTGGCCATCTATTCTGTGACCCAGAAATATCTGAAGGCACTTGCTTCTTACTGTGGAGTTGCCAGTGTCTGAAGTTGGAGTGGAAAGGGATTCATCTCACTTGATCTAGGAGTGCACAGGAAGGATCATTGTGAGCTGTTCCTAGCATTTTGTAAAGTCCAAGAGAAACCTTGATGATTTTTTAACAAATGAAGTTTGCCAAGCAATCTTTTAAAACCAAAGATCCATGTCAGGTGGAAAGAATAAGTTGGCGAGAGACAGGTGTTGGCCCTTGATTGTTAAAGGATGGCCAGCTTCTCATTTTGCAGATGACTTCTCCAGAGGCTCAAAGAGGTTACCACTTTTCTTCAAGTGAGTTAGGGATAGATCTAAGAGAACTCAAACTCAGGTAATAATAGCTAAGGTTAATCATTGAATGCTTATTGTTTGTCGGGCACTGTTCTAAGCCCTCTACACTTTTAAACCAATGAGACACTGGCATCTCTGTCTTATGAATGAAGACACTGAGAGAGAAAAACAGTAAGTATCTTTTATAGCCATTAAGCATATAGTTGAGGTTTGAGCCCAGGCATCCGGATTCTAAATTGCAGTCTATAGCCATTCACCATGCCATTCCCAGGTCTTATATTACAAACCAAGTTGCCTTTTTTTTTCCCTTATGATCCACATTACAAGGTATAAGAAATGTGATCGATGATTTTTTAAATTTTCAAGAGGCAAGCTAGCACAGTTAGAATACACTATTAGAAAATTGAGTTTAAAATATATGATTTCAGTGCCAGAAGAGTGCATATTCAGAGAGAGGGGAGACCCAAAAGGAGAAAGCTGGGACATGGCACCCCCTGCCAGCCTGTCTCCATTCTGTCTTCCCCTTACCCTGTTGCATAGACCTGGGACAGGCATTGGCTGAGCTAGACCAGCCTCACCCACACAAGCCAGGACACTGCACAGACAGGTCTGTGGGGTCCAGGAAGACGTGCTGGTCAAGGGATGCATTCTCTCACTGCCCCCACTCACCTCACTGTTAGCCCAGCAGGTGGGAGTGTGCCCATGGCCCTAAGGAAGCACCTGCCTGCTGGCCCCTGACCAGCTCCCTAGCACAAATTTGACCATGAATCAGCAGCAGGACAGCCAGTCCCCTGAGCCCACCAGGCTGCCAAGGCCAGAGAGTGGAAGTGGAAAACAAGTCCATACAGGCGGCACACCTGGTCCACAGCCTTCAGCTGCACAGACACACAGGTAGCCACGTGTGTATACATCCTCCTAAACACAGGCACAGGAACACAGCCAGGCCCTGCAGGCCCCCAGCCCCCATCCGCCCCCACACTGCTGCCAGAATGTGCCTCAGAGATTAAAGTATCACTCACTATTCCACCCTCTCTTCATGAGAACGTTTGTACCCCTTCACTGAAAATATAAGACTTTGGGATCTCTCTTCTGCCCTCTGCCCTTCCCTTTATTTTACTCCTCTGACCTCCTTACCCACATTTCTTTCTGTGTGTGAAGTCCTGCTCACCCTTTACCATCATCTTTACCTGAGTCATTCCTACTCACCTTTAAGGACTCAACTCCAGGGTCTCCTGCCCAGGGAAGGCCGCAAAAGCCTATACTGCATTGTCTGCCTTCCCAGAAGATAATAAGCTTCTGGAAGCAGGAACCATGCCTTACCCATTCTTGCTCCCCAGCTCCCAGCACCATGTCTGCTACATGATAGATGTTTAATGAATGTTTGATGGATATATGATGTCTACACACACAAACTGACATCCTCATAAGCACACCCACCTGTTCATGTATGTTTGTCTACACTGGACACCTGCCCCTGAAGCCTGTCTCTTGTCCAGGTCATCATTTATGTATAGCTGACCCTTGAACAAGGTGGGTGTTATGGGTGCCAATGTCCCACACAGTCAAAAATCTGCATAACTTTTGCCTCCCCAGAAACTTGGCTACTAATAGCCTACTGTTGACCAGAAGCCTTACTAATAAATAGTGGATTAACACATAGACTATTATACCTCTATTTTATGTGTGCATGACATACCTAACTTCTTAATTTTTTTTATATTTCTAGGCTACACAGTTCATCTGAGAGTTTTTTCAATTGTTATAAAACTCCAAAATTTTAAAAATATATTTTTGTACAAATCCGCATATGAGTGGATCCGTGCAGCTCAACCCCATGTTGTTCAAGGGTCAACTGTGCTCACGTATCAATGTACCTCTACATGTGCTCAAATATATTCACATGTGCACACCACATGCATACACACAGAGCTGTTGGTTTTTAATTAAATCAATCTATTTGTTTAAATTCATTGGTTTTTGTGTTTTGCCTCTATAATCAATTTTGCTCCCAGGCAAAACCAGGTAGGATAGTTTGCTGGGTCCCAGAGCAAAGAAAAGAGGGATTTCCTATTCTTTTCTCAGAAATTTGAGACTAAAGCCGTCAATCTAGAACTCATGAGGAGAGCTGGCAAACAGTGCTGGAATGGCAGGAGCCCTGTAATAACCAGCCTTCGATCAGCTCAGCCTGACATTTAGGTGTGACAGTATCATTAACTACCATAAAGAGGTGGGCATGGACATGCGCCATCCAGATCCTCCTTCAAGGAAAGACATGTTGCCCAGCTGATGGCAGGGCTGTCAGCACATCAGGTACAGCCATGTCGCCTTCAGAGAGCCATCTCACCACCATACCAGGGGCTGGCCTCACCCAGTGATGAGAGAATATAAAGGCTTTAACTATTTTAGCCCAGTGCAGGACAATTCAAGCTCCCCATGGAGTTGGCTGAGGCTTTGGGGCCTGCATCACAGCTCACCTTCCCCCTCAACCCATTCTGCCTCTTTCCCTTTCTTCCCACAAGGGCACTTCCTAAAAACATCCTGAACGCTCCAGTATATCTCAGAATCTGCTTCCAGGGGACCCAAACTGTACCAAATAACATTTTGCATGTACACAGAACTTTAGGTTGAAAGTGCTTTTCATCCTCACTATCTTACAAGTGCCTGGAAATGCTCCCCTCTCACTGGGGGACAGACACAGCTGTCCTACATCACTAATGAGGAAACTGAAGCCCAGGGGGTTAAAGCTCGCTCATGGCCACACAGCCAGACAGACACAAAGCTGGAACTGGAACCCCATTATGTCTGACTTGGAATTCTCCACTCTCTCCATGGCATCAGGCTGCCTGTTGCTCCTGCACGTGTGAGGTGGTGGAGGGTGTCTTCTCATTAAGGATGAAATCCAGACCCTGCTAGAACAGGGTGGGTGTCGCTGCTCCCTGGCATCCTGCTGCTCTCATTCTGTCCTCCCCATCATTTCCATTCCTTCCTCTAACTCCTACACAATGCAGACCTGAAGATGAGGCCCATGATCATGAGCTGGTTAGGGATGGGTCCAGGCCAGATGCCTTTAATGTGTGTTCTCATTGTTAAACGGGCAATGAGAAGACTGGTAAGGAATTCCAGGACTAATGAGCCAACATGGAAGATACAGCCCATGCTGGAATTGTCCCCCTTATCTCCAAACACAAAGTGAGCAGCAATGCCACTTAAGACTACAAGCCATGCTCACAATGGAGAGGAGCACCTCCATGCACAGAACCACAGAGGGTTGGGAAAGAAGGGCGAGAGGGAGTGTGGGAGGGAGGAGGAAGCAACGTAGAATCACAGTTGTAAACAGAAACCAAATCACATAGCCAGTGGGAGCTGGCGACAGATTCTCAGAATCTTCTTGTGAACCACACATGGAGGGGGCTGGAAGCAAGCAACCCACATGAAAATGAGACGAGAGTCATTACATCTGCTCTGAATACCAGCTTAGCCTCACATCCTCAGTGGAACAAGGAAAAATAGAATTAAATCCTTCGGAGCCCCACTCTACTGAGCTCCCAGAGGGCAGGGCCATGCCTGGTGCTAAGCAGGAGCCCAGGGCACATTATCTGACTGTCTCCCAACCAGTCCCACTGTACTATGTGCTCAGAATCACTGGCCCCATGGGGCTGGGCTTCTGGAGCCTCAGCACCTGTAGGAAAGAGAGCTCCCCAGGGCTTCTGATCATCTCTGCCTCCCGCCTCACCACAGACCCACATAAAGCCTCTGCTCAGGCTCAGGCTGGTCCTTGGTAAGCAGGGCTGCCAATGCACTGACTCATCGCTGGCAGTCTCTCAGGCATTTTGGAAAAGGCAGAGGCTCAGGTGACTTTTGTTGTTTCAGCTGGGACCAGAGAAGCATCTCTGCTCTTAGGGAGGAAAGAGAGGCCTGGAAGAAGAAAGGCAGTGGGACTGGTCACGCTGGGGAGAGGGAAAAGAAGGAGAGCCACACAAGGAGCCAGGTCCAGGGT